ACGAGCCTCCTCCACAGAGGCCGATCTTGACACCGCTGGTACCGGTCATCGGCAAGTCCACTCAGCTCCACGTCCTCCTGTACCACATCACTCCATCTATTCTTTAGCCCGTGCCGCGCCCGTTTAGCCCCCTCAATCCGGCCGAACAAAAGCTGTGTCGGCATGCGGTGGCTGGGCATGCGGGCTACATGACCCAGCCAACGCAGCCTTGCCCGCCGGAGGAGCTCACCGATGGGACCTTGCCCAGATCTTTCAAGGATTTGTGAGCTCCTCGCACAATCCAGCCTGCAGGTTAAACCCAGGATGGATCGTAGGCAGGCCAGCCTAAAAGTCTCTAACCGGCGAAGATGTTCCATTAGGCCAGGTAGCTTTTGAAAAAGAGCCACCTGGCCCAGTGATGCCTTAGCTGGTCAAATATCTATTTATTTTTTCGTTAAGTTAATTCTTCCGAAGGATTCCGACTCAACCCCAGCCTCGCGTCTGCATCTCTCCGCCACTTGTGTTCGTCTTTAGGTTGCGGCAAAAGCCGCCGCCGCCGCCGCCGCCACCACCACCAATTCCCACGTCCGTGGGAACTTGTTGCCAGCGTCAGAGTTATTACCAAACGAAACAATTAATGTTTTAAAGGTACCCTTCTTTTAAAAAGCCCGCTCTAATGAAATGCACCGTACTGGTAATGGACAGAGCCCCACGACTCCAGGGAGTGGCCCCGAAGCTTTGCCACAGCGCAAGGGGGGACCGCGTGGTGATTCGCAGCCCGACGTGAGTCGAGCGTGGACAATTCGACCCAAGCCGAAACGTAACGTGTCGAAAAGGTTGCTTGAACGTTTTAATTTTTTTTAACGATGGAATCTAGTGTGTGTGGCGTAAGTAAACCAAGCTTCTAGATTTAAAGCTTTCGTGACTGCTGGGATCCGTACTCTTCGGTTCTATTGGGTAAAGTCGCGTAGGTGAAAAATGAAATAACAAAAATCACGATGTTTCGGCCACAACACAAGCGGCCTTCATCAGGTGAAGGTTAAAGGTCGTGATCTGAGCGTGGCTTTTTTCACTCCAGCACTGTCCTCCAGACAGTCTCGTCCCTTCACCTGATGAAGGCCGCTTGTGTTGTGGCCGAAACGTCGTGATTTTTGTTATTTTATTTTTACCTACGTGACTTTACCTAATAGAACCAAAGAGTTAAATTTCGATTTAAAGCTTTCGTGACTGCAATGATTCATCTTCTTTGGTTCTTTCGGTAAAGTCACGTAGAATGAGAATAAAATAATAAATTGATAAAATAAAATTATTGTGTTATTTTATTTTATCAATTTATTATTTTATTCTATAAAATAATAAATTGATAAAATATTGTGTTATATTGTGTTATTTTATTTTATCAATTTATTATTTTATTCTCATTCTACGTGACTTTACCGAAAGAACCAAAGAAGAAGAACCAAAGAGTATAAGCCAAGCTTGCAGTCGATGCCACATTGGGAAGCGTGTTGACATTTAGTCACAGGGATTCACATTCTTGGTTCTTTCGGTAAAGTCACCGCCACGTAGAAGGGAAACAATAAAATAATAAAAACACGAAACAATACAATTCTCACGACGTTTCGACCGCAACACAAGTCAGCAATCATCATCGGGTGTGAAAACCACGGCAAGAAAATTTGAGTAAAAGTGGCGTTTTTTTTAACGTTAGCACCACGGAGAGCGATTTGGCAGCTTGTTCAGATGGACGAGTCCATCTATGTTTGTTATATTCTTGGTTCTCTCGGTAAAGTCACGTAGAAGGGAAGCAATAAAATAATAAAAATATAAAACAATAAAATAACTGCCAAATCGCTTTCGGCGGTGCTAACGTAAAAAAAAACCCGCCACTTTTTTCAAATTTTCTTGCCGTGGTTTTCACGCCTGATGATGATTGCTGCTCGCGTTGCAGTCGAAACGTCGTGAGAATTTTATTGTTTTATATTTTTATTAATTTATTGTTTCCCTTCTACGTGGCGGTGACTTTACCGAAAGAACCAAGAATACAGAGTTGAGTTAATTAAGAGCGTCTAAAAAGCCACTCAAGAATTACGTTCCACACCCGTTTCTGGCACTAAAACTGCGGGAGTTGTGTTCCGATGTTCAAGCAACAAATCGATGCCCTCCGTAAGGAATCGTTCGACTGCTTCTGGTAGTGCTCTGACACATCTCATAGCCACCGTGATGATGATGGTGGTGGAACCCACGACCTCCTGTGTACCAGGCGAGGTAGTCAACATCTCATAGCCACCGAGATGATGATGGTGGTGGTGGAACCCACGACCTCCTGTGTACCAGGCGAGGTAGTCAACATCTCATAGCCACCGTGATGATGATGGTGGTGGAACCCACGACCTCCTGTGTACCGGGCGAGGTAGTCAACATCTTATAGCCACAGTGATGATGATGGTGGTGGAACCCACGACCTCCTGTGTACCAGGCGAGGTAGTCAACATCTCATAGCCACCGTGATGATGATGGTGGTGGTGGAACCCACGACCTGTGTACCAGGCGAGGTAGTCAACATCTCATAGCCACCGTGATGATGATGATGGTGGTGGAACCCACGACCTCCTGTGTACCGGGCGAGGTAGTCAACATCTTATAGCCACAGTGATGATGATGGTGGTGGAATCCACGACCTCCTGTGTACCAGGTGAGGTAGTCAACATCTCATAGCCACTGTGGTGTCAGGGTTTTTGATCTAACCCACGACCTCCTGCGTACCAGTAGTCAACATCTCCTAGCCACTGTGGTGTCAGGGTTTGTGATCGAACCCACGACCTCCTGTGTACCAGGCGAGGTAGTCAACATCTCCTAGCCACTGTGGTGTCAGGGTTTGTGATCGAACTCACGACCTCCTGTGTACCAGGCAAGGTAGTCAACATCTCCTAGCCACTGTGGTGTCAGGGTTTGTGATCGAACTCACGACCTCCTGTGTACCAGGCAAGGTAGTCAACATCTCCTAGCCACTGTGGTGTCAGGGTTTGTGATCGAACTCACGACCTCCTGTGTACCAGGCAAGGTAGTCAACATCTCCTAGCCACTTTGGTGTCAGGGTTTGTGATCGAACCCACGACCTCCTGCGTACCAGGCGAGGTAGTCAACATCTCCTAGCCACTGTGGTGTCAGGGTTTGTGATCGAACCCACGGCCTCCTGTGTACCACGCGAGGTAGTCAACATCTCCTAGCCACTGTGGTGTCAGGGTTTGTGATCGAACCCACGACCTCCTGTGTACCAGGCGAGGTAGTCAACATCTCCCAGCCACTGTGGCCTTCTCCACTATTATTACCCCCATGACAAACAGGAATACTGCCCCTCACCATTGACCCTACCACTGTCCCTGATACGAATACTATTCTTACCCATGCCTCCCATGTTACGCACTATCACTACCCCCTATCACTACCCCCTATCACTACCCCCTATCACTACCCCCTATCACTACCCCCTATCACTACCCCCTATCACTACCCCCTATCTCTACCCCTATCACTACCCCCTACCACTACCCCCTATCTCTGTCCCCTATCTCTCCCCCTATTTCGACCCTGCAGCCTGCTTGGTGTTCGTGGCCGTGACCTCGCAGAGTTCTCAAAACAATGACGGGAAATAGGAAACGGAACAGACGTGACGTACACACATACACATACACACACACATACACACACACACACATACACACATACACATACACACACATACACACACACATACACACACATACACATACATACACATATACACATACACACATACACATACACACATACACACACATACACATACATACACATACATACACACACACATACACACATACACGTACACACACGTACACACATACACACACACATACACACACATACACAACAACAACAACCGCCATTCGCCACTAAGTGGCGGTGACGTCACCACGACGCTTGTGCCAGGCTATGTGCACCCTGAGGCCACGTGAAGTGTCGAACGCCCGCTGGCAGGAGGTCACGGGGCAGACCCAGGTGCCACGGGTCGACTGACTGAGATGACTGGCTGATGCACCACCTGTGCCCCCTACTGTGCCAACCTGCTGTGCTTTAGCCACCCGGCGCTCCGCTCGCTGTTGTGAGCGTCGCTCCTCCGCCCTCCGTTGTTGTTGGAGGGCGACTGCCTCCAACTGCCCAGTAGCATCCTTCACGAGCCTCCTCCACAGAGGCCGATCTTGACACCGCTGGTACCAGTCATCGGCAAGTCCACTCAGCTCCACGTCCTCCTGTACCACATCACTCCATCTCTTCTCTAGCCCGTGCCGCGCCCGCTTAGCCCCCTCAATCCGGCCAAACAAAAGCTGTTTCGGCATGCGGTGGCTGGGCATGCGGGCTACATGACCCAGCCATCGCAGCCTTGCCCGCCGGAGGAGCTCACCGATGGGACCTTGCCCACATCTTTCACACACAGACCCATGTGCACACACGACTGTGGCTGCGTGTGATGCCTGTTGTGTGCACGTCTGTGTGTTGAACTTCTTTCACACCGTACGTGGCCATCCGCGATAATCGAGGTCTGTGGGTCTCTGTGTGAGTCTGTGGGTCTCTGTGTGAGTCTATGGGTCTGTGTGAGTCTGTGGGTGTATGTGTGAGTCTGTGGGTCTCTGTGTGAGTTGTAACGGTGGTGATGGTGTGATGGTGGTGTGATGGTGATGGTGTGATGGTGATGGTGGTGTAGTGATGGTGTAGTGATGGTGATGATGTGATGGTATGGTGGTGGTGTGATGGTGATGGTGGTGTAGTGATGGTGGTGGTGTAGTTATGGTGTAGTGATGGTGATGGTGTAGTGATGGTGTGATGGTGGTGGTATTGATGGTGGTGTGATGGTGATGGTGTAGTGATGGTGTAGTGATGGTGATGGTGTAGTGCTGGTGGTGGTGTAGTGATGGTGATGGTGTGATGGTGATGGTGTAGTGATGGTGATGGTGTAGTGATGATGGTGATGGTGGTGGTTGTTGTTGCAGTTTAACTTTGTGGGACGCATTCTGGGCCCACGTGGTTTGACGGCCAAGCAGCTGGAGTCTGAGACGGGCTGCCGGATTATGGTGCGGGGTCGTGGGAGCATGAGGGACAAGAAGAAGGTGAATCACCCCTCACCCCTGACCCCTGACCCCTCACCCCTCACCCTCTCACCACCCCCTCACCCCTGACCCCTCACGCCCTCACCCCTGACCCCTCACACCCTCACCCCCCTCACCCCCCTCACCACCTCACCACCTCACCACCTCACCCCTCACCTCTGACCCCTGACCCCTGACCCCTCACCACCTCACCACCTCACCCCTCACCTCTGACCCCTGACCCCTCACCCCTGACCCCTCACACCCTCACCACCTCACCCCCCTCACCCCTCACCTCTCACCCCTGACCCCTCACCCCCCCTCACCCCCCTCACCACCTCACCCCCTCACACCCTCACCCCTCACCACCCCCTCACCCCCCCCTCACCACCTCACCCCCTCACCACCTCACCCCTCACCTCCTCACCCCCTCAAACCCTCACCCTCTCACCCCTCACCACCCCCTCACCACCCCCTCACCTCTCACCACCCCCTCACCCCTGACCCCTCAGGAGGAGCAGAACCGCGGCAAGCCCAACTGGGAGCATCTGAGTGAGGAGCTCCACGTGCTCGTCACCGTGGAGGACTCCCCGAACCGCGCCGACGTCAAACTCAGACACGCCGTGGACGAGGTCAAGAAGCTCTTAGTGCCCTCGGTGAGACACACGCAGACACACACACGCAGACACACACACGCAGACACACACAGACAGACACACACACAGACACACACACATACACACACACAGACACACAGACACACACACACACACAGACACACACACACACACAGACACACGCACACACAGACACACAGACACACGCACACACAGACACACACACAGACACACACAGACACACGCACACACAGACACATACACAGACAACAACCGCCATTCGCCACTAAGTGGCGGTGACGTCACCACGACGCTTGTGCCAGGCCATGTGCACCTTGAGGCCACGTGAAGTGTCGAACGCCCGCTGGCAGGAGGCCATGGGGCAGACCCAGCAGGTGCCACGGGTCGACTGACTGAGATGACTGGCTGATGCACCACCTGTGCCCCCTACTGTGCCAACCTGCTGTGCTTTAGCCACCCGGCGCTCCGCTCGTTGTTCTGAGCGTCGCTCCTCCGCCCTCCGTTGTTGTTGGAGGGCGACTACCTCCAACTGCCCAGTAGCGTCCTTCACGAGCCTCCTCCACAGAGGCCGATCTTGACACCGCTGGTACCAGTCATCGGCAAGTCCACTCAGCTCCACGTCCTCCTGTACCACATCACTCCATCTCTTCTCTAGCCCGTGCCGCGCCCGCTTAGCCCCCTCAATCCGGCCAAACAAAAGCTGTTTCGGCATGCGGTGGCTGGGCATGCGGGCTACATGACCCAGCCATCGCAGCCTTGCCTGCCAGAGGAGCTCACCGATGGGACCCTGCCCAGATCTTTCAAGGATTTGTGAGCTCCTCACACAATCCAGCCTGGTTAAACCCAGGATGGATCGTAGGCAGGCCAGCGTAAATGTTTCTAACCGGCGAAGATTCCATTAGGCGGGTCCACGTTTCGCAAGCATAGAGAAGGGAGGGAATGACCGTGGCCGAGAAGACCTGAAGCTTAGTGCGGAGCGACAGACCAGGTAGCTTCCACACAGTGTTACGCAACCGATGAAAAGATATTGCCGCTCGACGGATTCGGAGTGAGACCTCTGCTGTTAAACTGGAGCCAGTCATAAGCACACTGCCCAGGTATGGGAAACTCTCCACTCTCTCCACAACTGCCCCATCACCGATTGGGAGTTGTGGGGGTGGAGTGTCCGATGGTACAAAATACCCAGGCAGGTGCTTAGTTTTGGTGGGGCTGATTGTAAGGCCCCACCTCTTAGTGGCACGCTCCAGTCTCAGCAGCAGCATCTCCAACTCCTCCTCTGACTGAGCAGCTATTACCAAATCATCAGCATACATAACGTGGTTGAGCAATAGGGAGCTATCCCTTGACCGCACCCGGGCATCGATCAGCCTCCCATTATATCTGTACCATATGGAGATTCCCCCGGTACAGCTATTGAAGGCTTCACGAACTACGTGGTCAAAATAGATGTTAAATAATGTGGGAGCCAGAGAACATCCCTGTCGCACCCCAAGGTGTACAGGGAATGGCTCTGACTCCCGGCCACGTAGTTTTACCCGGGCCCGCTCACCATCATGAAGATCCTTAATGATCGTGAGCAGAGGGTCAGGTACTCTAAAAGCACGAAGAACGACCCAGAGCCCAGGCCTACTGATGGTATCATAGGCCTTGACCAGGTCAATAAAGCAGAGATGTAGGTCTTGTTGGAATTCCCTACACCTCTGCTGTAGCAGACGGACAGAAAATATGGCATCTGTGCAGGATCGCCCTTTCCTGAAACCCTATTGGGGCTCCGCAAGCCTCTCCTCAGCGTGCCTGGCAAGGCGATGCTGAATAATCCTTGCCAGGACCTTTTCCGGCACACTGAGGAGTGAGATGCCCCTGTAGTTGTTACAGTCTGTGCGGTCCCCCTTCTTAAAAAGGGGGACCACCAGGGCATCCTTCCAATCCTGCGGAACCCGTCCAGTGGTCCAGACTGTTATGACGTCATATAGGGCAGTCTGTGCACAAACGCCACCCTCCCTCAGCATTTCGCTTGGGAGATCATCTCTGCCCGCTGCCTTTCCTGGTCTCAGACTCCGGATCGCCTTCAATACTTCCTCAGCAGATGGCACCTCAGCCAGCCACTCACAGGGGGTGACTTCTTCCAATATTTGAGGCACCGCAGCCTCAGCAGGGTCATCCTCACTTTGTGCCACGATGTTTTCCTGGCTGAGGGATTTTCCCTCCCCCAGGACCTCACAGAAATGCTCAGCAAATCTGCGAACCTGTTCCTGGGGGTCGGAGATTGGATCACCGTTTTTTCCCCTAATGATGGTAATAGGTGTGGCGCTGCAGGTTACTTTTTTGATGGAGTTGAATAGAGATTTGTGATCACGGGCCACTGAGGCAGACTCCATCTCCTCAGCAACCCGCGACCACCACACATCCTTGCAGCGCCTCACGGCTCTCCAAACCTCCGAGCGAAGGCTGCGTAAGCCTCCTCATTCTCTGACGTGGGATTCTGTAACCGATGACAGTGGGCCTGTCGCTTTTTCTCAACCATCCTGAACACCTCCTCTGTCAGCCAGGGTCTCTGGGGAGGTCTGGACCGCGTACCCAAAGCAGCCATTGCAGCTGCATGAGTCACAGTCCTAAACCTCGCCCATTTACCCTCGACATCAGGAGGAGTCGGGGACGATGCCAATCCCAGCCGCAAGCGATGATGAAATTCTCGCTTGCAACTTTCATCAGATAACTGAGACCAGGCCACTTTATGTTGGAATGGGGTCCTGGGTGTACACCCACCACCGGAGTGGAAGAATGGCAGGCGCATCTTACAGATGACTACTCGATGGTCAGAGGGCAGATCAGCTCCACGGTAGGTCCTGGTGCCAAGGACATGGGCTCGCATTCGCTGGTCCGTCACTATGTAGTCCAGCAGATGTTCTTGCTTGGACCCGGCATGCATCCATGATGTTGTGTGGATGCGCCGATGCCGGAACAGCGTGTTGGTAATTACAAGCCCATGGGCTGCACAAAAATCTAGCAGCCTCCTACCGTTGTTATTGAGCTGATCTGGCCCATGCCCTCCAATCACTCCAGACCAGGTGCCAGTATCATGACCAACTCGGGCATTGAAGTCACCCAACATGATGACTCTATCCCGAGGGGCCACTTTAGCCAGCACCTGTGACAGGAGGTCATAGAAGGCATCTGACTCATCGGCTCTGCCTGCATCCCTCCACGGATGTTCATCTTCGGTGGGGGCATAAGTAACCACGACCACCATTCCTCGCCTCCGGTTGATGGGAAGGCGAGCCCAAAGTAGCCTGGGGCTTACAGCTTCCCACACCTCACCGCCACGCTCCCACGCCCCCTTCATTCTTTTGTTCAAAAGAAGAGCCACACCCTGTTGTTTGGCAGTCTGCTGCCCCGAGTAGAGGACTGTCCACCCCTCATGGTGGCAGGAGCCAGAGCCGGTCCACCGGACCTCCTGAATGCCGCATAGATCCAGGCGGGTACCGGTCCAGCTCCCGACAGAGGAGTGGCAGCCTCTCCTCTGCAGTGAGCGTTCGAACATTCCACGTGGCCACCCGTAGTGGCTTTTCGTTGTTTCTGGAGTAGCCTCGAGGGTAGGTATTCAATCTCCTGGCTCCGCCAATTGGGGTTTGGCCAGGAGACGTCATAGACGCCTGGCCCCCCGGGGCCTCCGGCACAAGCTTATTAGTTACATATTTCAGTTTAATTCGTGGTTTCGTGGTAATTAATTGAAGGTGGAGGGGTTACCAGCCCCTCGCACCCGTCCAGAGCCCCCGTTTAGCCCCTGTGGTGGACACATATGCCATGAGGGGAGGAGCCAATCAAAATTGGATCTCCCCCCACAGCACTGTCCACGACAGATTTGCCCGTCCGGCACCGCGAGGAGGTAGGGGGTTGTTTTTGCCGGACACACACAGACACATACACACACACAGTCACACACACACACAGACACACACACCACACAGTCACAGACACACACATACACACACACAGACACACACACAGACACACACACAGACACACAGACACACACACAGACACACAGACACACACACACAGACACACAGACACACACACAGACACAGACACACACACAGACACACACACACAGACACACACACACACAGACACACAGACACACACACAGACACACACAGACACACACATACACACACACACATACACAGACACACACACAGACACACACACAGACACACACACACACAGACACACAGACACACACAGACACATACACACACACAGACACACAGACACACACACACAGACACACGCACACAGACACACACACACACAGACACACACACAGACACACACACACAGACACACACACACACACAGAGACACACACACACAGACACACACAGACACACACACACAGACACACACACAGACACACAGACACACGCACACACATACACACACAGACACATACACACACAGTCACACACACACAGACACACACCACACAGTCACACACACACAGACACACAGACACACACACAGTCACACACACACAGACACACAGACACACACACAGACACACACACAGACACACACAGACACACACACAGACACACACACAGACACACACACAGACACACACACACAGACACACAGACACACACACATACACACACACAGACACACAGACACACACACACACACAGACACACACACACACACAGACACACGCACACACAGACACACAGACACACGCACACACAGACACACACACACACAGACACACACAGACACACGCACACACAGACACATACACAGACAACAACCGCCATTCGCCACTAAGTGGCGGTGACGTCACCACGACGCTTGTGCCAGGCCATGTGCACCTTGAGGCCACGTGAAGTGTCGAACGCCCGCTGGCAGGAGGCCATGGGGCAGACCCAGCAGGTGCCACGGGTCGACTGACTGAGATGACTGGCTGATGCACCACCTGTGCCCCCTACTGTGCCAACCTGCTGTGCTTTAGCCACCCG